TTTTTAGTTCCTCTTATCCTCGCCATTAATAAATGTGACAAACCTGAAGCTGATCCTGAAAGAGTGAAGAAGGAATTGCTGGCCCACGATGTGGTCTGTGAAGACCTGGGAGGTGATGTTCAAGCTGTAAATATTTCTGCACTCAAGGTAGAGTTTGGTGGAAAAGGTGACGGTGTTCATGGGCATCTATTGTGTGCATAAAGCTGCAGTTTTATTTGGCACCTGGAGAATAAAATGCTTGTCTTCCTGGTGCTGCACACCTTACTGGGAGCTAACTGCTGCTGGGTCTCACCAGAATTGTCTGGAACAGGGTATTTGGAGGCTCAGACCTTCAGCAAGCAGTAATATCTCATCTTAGTTCTGGAAATGTAGTGGAAGTTTGTCAGGTTAATCCTAACTGCTGTTTCCTCATATATTTGCTCATTGTATGATGTCATGGTGGTAGTGCTGTGCATGAAGAGAAAATTTCAAATGAGGGTAAACAAATATTTACCTAACACATGTCTAATGACAGGAACCTACTTCTGTAGTGCTCTTACAACATTTACCATCTTATCCTTGCAAACAAGCTAAAAACTGATAGCTAAAAATGGAACTTAGTTTTGTGGTGGCCAAAGCAGCTTTGTCCAAAGTGATGCAGTGGTATCTTAACCTTGGTTATATCTTTCTAAATGCAACCTGAGTCATTTTCTAAGATTTCAGGCAATTTCAAGGCCTCATGAAGTCATGGCCCTACAGTTTAAACAGGCCTAGGTAAAATGGCTTCTCTGAATGCACACGTTGTTGTGTGTACTCATTGCACTGGCTGTGCTGATGGACAGGTAGCTTGTTGCATCTATTCTGGAAAATAAAATGTAATTAGAACAAAGGAAAAGAAAAAGGAATCAGACCAACAGTTTTGTCTCTGATGTCCTGTAATCCTGACTGGGTGATAGATGTCATCAGCTTTCAGCTTGTCTGTTAGGTGTTTGGCTTCTTGGTGTTTTGTTTTAATTTGGATACTTCCTTTGTATAATTTTTGTGTGTATGGTTTTGTGCAGGGTGAGAACCTGATGGTTTTAGCAGAAGCAACTGTTGCTTTAGCAGAGATGTTGGAACTGAAGGCTGATGCCACGGGCCTGGTGGAGGGGGCTGTGATTGAGGCTCGCAAGGACAGAGGGAAGGGGTGAGTCAGTCACCTGCTGCCTCTACAGCTTCCAGGAAGCAGTTTGTAACAACACAGAGACACTGTTCAGTGCCGTGCCCCTCAGTATTTGCATTGAGGGTTAAATGGGGTGGTGGTGTTAGATAAAACTGTAACAGTTTCTTTGCAGTGTTTGTAACTAAAGCACTGCACTGTTATTCTGCAGCATGAGAGCCAGGAGGAGTTCTGGGAAGGATAGGGCAAAATTTATCATGTCACTGAAGTGAAATCCTGTAAGCAAAGGAAATAGCTTAAAATGCTAGAACAGATGTTTGGTGGGTTTTTAAATGTTGATAATCAGGAATGATGAAGTTAATAGTTATGAAACATGTTTTATATATATACTGTAACAAACATCTTACTCTTTTAACATATTTTAATCCTTTTTCAAGTTTTCTGTAAACAAGGTGTATTCTGTCCTCTTCAAAAAATAACTGGATTCTGGAAAGATGTTTGGGTTTGAGATTTTTTTTTTTTTGTGGGGAGCATCACTCAATGTGTAAAATTTGTGAAATCTGCTGTTTTCACAAATGCCAAGTTTTGTGTTGACGTGCAGAAATGAAAAGAGCACAGCACAGGTTTTGAGTCTTTTGCAAATCACTTTATTAGAGTGCTAATAACATTTTAAAACGTGTCACAGGGATTTGCTGCCTGTGATCCATCCCAAGCACCTTCTCTTTGGTGGCTGCTTCCCCAGGCTCACTGTGAAAACAGGGAGGAGAGTCCCTTGAGCTTTGTGTGTTCTGTTTCTCCTCTGCTCTTCCCTAGCCCAGTTACCACGGCCATCATCCAGAGGGGAACCCTGAGGAGAGGCTGTGTCCTGGTGGCAGGGAAGACCTGGGCCAAAGTGCGCTTCATGTTTGATGAGAATGGCAAAGCTGTGGATGCAGCCTCACCAGGCATCCCCGTGGAGATCATGGGCTGGAAGGATTAGATGAAATCCTTGAAGTAGAATCTGAGGTAGAGAAGGAGCTGTTTGATGGGGAAATTACACTGCAGCAAGGTGGAGGGGGAGATGAATAGAAAATAAGAGAGAGCTTCCATTCTAAACAAGCTGGATAATGTAATGAAAGACAGAGGGTGTTGAGAGACCCCAGAGAGGTGTGCTGTTAAGAAGAATGAGGATTTGCATGTTGTGTTGTTATTTTGAACTCTCCCTCCCCTGTCCCCATCTCCATGCATCCAGACTAACCTGCTTTACAGTTCCATGAAGAAAGCAGGCTGCCTCTGGAATTAAAGACTGACTTGCCTTTGGTTCATGCTCTTGCTTCTGGTGGTCATCCTGCCTTCCCCCATGCTTTGTTTGCAGGAACTGTCCTCCTGAGTGACTTCTGGTGGGGTAATCTGGGATATGTTCTGACATGTCCCCTTTCTAAGGGCTCAGAAAAGTTAGGATCACACTATCACCTTACCTGGAGAACAGTCCTGTGCTTAATGACACCAGTGTCTTAATTTTGGAATGAGAGAACTAGTTTCTGACAAAATAATATGCATAGAATGCTGCTTGAAATCAGTCTTTTGAGAGTGGGACAAAGACCACCTAAAAGAATGAACAGTAATTTATTCTCTTCTGCAGTGCAGAGAGACTGTAAAAATAGGCCTTGAGTCGTGTTGTAGCCAAGGGAGGAAGCTGTTGTGCTCATCCT